TGTTTGCTTTATCTCGACGCATTACGATGATTCGACGATACGCGATTTATCTCGATTATTGTTTTTCTTCGATTCGACGATTGTTTATGATCTCGATGAGCGATGATTCGATTATTGTTTCGACATTATCTCGACATTGTTTATTCGACATTTATTACGCATTTTATCCGGGATTATTGTTTTTTCGATCTCGATTTAAGCGATTTTATCTCGACATTGTTTATTTTATCTCGACGAAGCGATTTTGATCTCGACATTATGGACTTTATCTAATAATAGTTTTCCTTTATCCGACATTGTTTATTTTGATCCGACATTGTTTATGTATCTCGATTATTGTTTATTTTATCTCGACATTGTTTATTTTATCTCGACGCATTGTTTTCTTCGATTCGACATTGTTTTTTCGATCTCGACGCATTACGATTTTGATCTCGACATTGTTTATTTCGATCCGATTATTGTTTTTCGATCCGGACGATTGATTTGACGATCGACGATTGATCCGATTTGATTATTCGATCCGATTATCGATCCGATGATCCGACGATCCGACGATCCGACGATATCGATTCGATCCGACGAGCCGATGATTGATTATTCGATCCGATGATCCGATGATAGTCGACTGATGATTTTGATCCGACGATGATGATCGACGATCCGACGATTATGGATCCGACGATTGTCGATTTGATATCGATTGATCCGATGATACGGATCCGACGATATCGATTTGATTGATCCGACGATTACGATCGATCCGATAGATTGTCGACGATCCGACGATTGTTTTATTTCCGACGACGCTTGATCCTCGAGAACTATGATGATCCGACGACGATGATCCGACGACATGTTTATCGATCCTCGACGATCGATGATCTTCTGATTGATCCGACGATCCGGATCGACCTGATCCGACGATTATTTTATCTTTGATCCGACGATTGTTTATTGATCCGACGACGATCCTGACGAGCCGATGCATCTGATCCTTTATTCGATCCGGACGAATATTCGATCCGAGAACTGTTTTATCGATCCGACGATTGATCCGACGACTACGATCTTCCGACGACGAATTATCCGATGATCCTGACATGATCCGACCATCGATTCCGACGATCCGACGATTTGATTACGATGATCATCGACGATGATCGATGATCCGGATTGTCGATCCGACGACTATTTTCGATCCGACGATAGTCGACTTTGATCCGACGACCATTCGACGACGACTATTCGATCCGACGATTACGATCCGATCGACTTCGTTCGATCCGATCCTTGTCGATTATCGATCCGGATCCGACGATTCGACGATTGTTGATTTCGATCTTCAGAATTTTTCCGATCCGACGATTATTCGACCGACGATCCGACGATCGATCCGATTTATTGTCGAGAAACGATTATTAATTTAATTATTTGATCCGACGATGATCCGACGATCCGACGATTTTCCGACGATGATCGACGATGATCCGACGATCCGATGATTTGATTGTTTGATCCGACGATGATATCGACGATGATTTCGATCCGATCCGACGATGACATCGACATCGACGCCGATCCGATCGATATGGATCCTCGACGATGACACTTTGATCGACGATCTTTCGATCCGACGATTGATCGATTTTGATCCGGATGACGATGATGATCCGACGAGCAGATGTCGATCCGACGATATCGAAACCTGACGACATCCGATGATTCTGATCGACGAACTTGATTAACCTGTCGATGATCCGACGATTGTCGACGACGATGACGATTATGATGATTCCGACGATTTTCGATTTCGATCCGACCATGCCGGATCCATTTATTGTTTACTTTGATCCGACATTGTCGACTTTGATCCTTTGATTTATCGATGATTAATTGATCCGAATATTGATCCGACGACCGACGAGATAAGTCGACTTTTAATTTGTCGATGATTAATTTAATTGTTTATCCGACGCATTGTTTTGATCTCGACTTCGGTTTTATGACGATTGTTCGATCCGGACGACGACGCGATCTGATCCGATGATTGATTTCCTTGATCCGACGACTGTTTATCGATCCGACGACGATCCGGACGATTGTCGATTACTGATTGCGACGATCACGATGATCCGACATTGTTTATTTCCTGATTCGGACGACCACGTTTTCGATTCGACATTGTTTATTTTGACTTTACGACTGAATTACTGATGATTTTCCGACATCGACTTCGCCGAGACGATCTCGACGACACCGATTGATTGTTTATCTCGACGAAGCGATTCGACATTGTTTATTTATTCTGATGAGTCGATGATTAATTTACTTATCGAGCACGACAATTTACGCTGACGACCTTTGATGATGGCGATATTTTATTTGATATTAAAAATATTTTTCGAACCGGAGCGAGGGAAGCACGTTGCCAACCATTGCTCGGTTCGCTCGCATATGGAAAAACTTGTCATTTTTATCTTTGTTGCGCAACCCTATTTGCGCTACAATTTGCCTGTGTATAAGCACAGCTATTCATCCAGACCCGGTTGTGTCAGAATTCGTTCATCAATAGTTCATTAAATGTTTTCATAAGTTAATGGTGGCATAAAAGAGGGTTGAACTAAATCGAAATGAAACTGTCTATTATACCACACTTTGCGTTCTTTGATTGTTTCTAATCTCTCTGTTTATATGCCCATATATAGTTTGTATAGTTCCACTACCGAATCACCCCATGTGTATGTGAGACATTGCCGAAAGCACGTTTTAACTGGCGTTCTAAGTAACAGTTACATCATGAAATGTCTGGTCACATTTGGTATGAATCGGTTAAGTTAAGGAAAGTGTCCCTTTTGAGTTTTTATCTGGTCTGGTAGCCAGAGGCAGCATAATATCATTTTCATATTTGGAAATAGCTAGCGTTTCCTCTGGTTTCCAACAATGCATAACATACACAGACTTGACAGAGGGCTTGACTTCAAAATGCATGGGGCAGATGGCTTCCAGTGGAAGAAAGTTTTAAAGTAGTAGATTATTTTATGAAATTTTGCAAAATTCCAAATTTACAAAACTTAAAAGCTATAGCCAATGGGAGCTTTATCTTAATAAACACATTACTTAAACAGAATGGATAAATTATAGTTTGATGGCAAAAAGATGTACACAAAGCATTCTTAGCACTAATTGATATTTATATAAGATTGGCTATGTCAAGTCACCAGCATGTTCATAGTGTAACGATCCAGCTGAAACTATAGCACATGTGCTTTGTAATTGTCAATATGCAATAGATATTTGGACAAAATTAACTGAATGGATTGAAGGATACACGGGAAGTAAAATTCATTTAAGCGAAGAACATTTATTATTTGGAGTTAAAGGTAAACATATTAATCCTCTTAATGTGGTGATAATAATAATCAAATACATGTTGTATAAATGTAGTAAGAAAGCAGTGAAACTCAGGAAGTGTACACTTAAAATACTTTCAACTGGAGAACATAAAGCTGCTGTAATGAAAATTGTAACATAAAAATGGAAATGGAAAAAAAAGAAAAAAGTTTGATTCTTGGTCCTGCCTGGAAGAGCTTCCAATCACGTAAAACGTAATTGCTCAGCGATGAATGTTGATAATAACAAACAGAAATATACCCCATGTAGCTCTAGGAACCAGCTACCCAACACTAGATAGCACCTGCGTGTTAAGCGACAGATTCAGCCAAGGGACCAATGCTGAAATTTATGTAACAAACTGTAAGAGCTCATACCCCCAGGCTATAAATGCTTGGATCTACTGACCATGACAATCATTTTGGCCATCTTGTCAAGATAAAACCGCCCTAGCCGCAAGCAATGGCAAAAATCAAACACAAAGATCATCACACGAGTTGATTGGCTGTACAATGATGATCATACCCAGGTTCTGGAATACATTTAAATATGGTCATCGTGCTACAGTGACAGCACAACACGTACAGTAACAGATATTCACATCTAATTCCGCCGGGATGTTGTTGACTCTCATATTGCTTGGACTTTCAACGTCGGCAGATTCACTCGCTTTCATGGACGAGTCGCAGTATGGTGTTTCTGGTAGGTGGTGTTATATTTCTGTTTAACATGTTTATATATGTGTCAGACATATCAGATACATTGAACACATCCAGTGACACAAAGTGGATTGCAATATAACCCAAATTAGTTGACAAGGATTCTTGTCAGAAACTGTTTCGTTGATATGATTCAACTCAACCGTCTTTCGCTGGTGTGGACCTGGACCTGGCTCGACCAGATGCATGGATACTATTCATGAAGCCTGTTCTTCGTGTTCTTGCTGTAATTTGTCTGTGATTGAATTTTAAAGGTCCTCAGTGAAACATCTCAAAAGTCCTACCAAAAAATATTTCTAAGAGGCCTTGATGGTCCTTTTCATTGCTATCACAAACGACAAGACCAGTGTTCAATATGCATTAATAAATCAAATCAACGTTATTTCACAGATGTTGTGGATCCAGTGTTAATCCATTCTGCTCACATTCGTCATGGAAGATCCGCCACGCACATGCCCGATGTTCTTCACTTCCGGTTTGAACTCTCTGGCTCAAGTGTGTCTCTAAATTTGACACGGAGTGAACGAGACATAGAGAGTTACCCTGTCTATCTGACCGATGAACGTGGACCAGTTCTTCAAACTGACCTCCCACAGCATGACGTAAGCTGTAACTGTAATTATATGTTTGGGTTGAGGAACATGTATTGAACAGACTGCTAGATGATAAATTTTGATTTTGTCGTGAATACTTTACACACAATTTTATATTTCACAAAAACACAGTCATTTAAATATCCTTAAAAAGTATGTTGAATATACAAAATAGTTTTACTTAATGCTAGTATAAGAACAGTTGAAATAACTCAGTGGGCAAATCCAGATGATTTTATAGAATATGTTTGCATCCATGACAAAATGATTGACACAATGTTGTTTGTTGAGACAGAACACTGCTGTTTATCGAAGCTATGCACAAGGATCGGCTGCCATCATTCAGCGAGAAGAGGAGGATGTGTATCATCTGGTAAGTAGTGATTAACTATTATGTGCCAAGAATGGGTTCAGGAAAGCAGGCTTGTCGTAATAGCTATGTGGCGTTAAGTGGGTGTAAATGTTTCGCCACAAACGTTAAGTAGGTAACTCATGTAATCAAGGCTGGAACCTTTAACTGCATGACTAAGGACTGCAGAGTAACACTAACATCTTGAAGGACCCCCACAAACCCATGTTAAACAGTTCTACCTTGACCGGCTCGAGCCGTGTACGTGTAGCCGAATGAGTGACGTTTGGTCTGAGGCTTCTTTGTTCAGTTAGGATCTCATGATATGTATTCGAATTTCATGTTCTTGCTCATTAGATGTTTAGTTTGTAAGTATTATACCATATCAGTTCTGTTGGGTAAACGACAACGTCTTGATTGTGAACATATGTTAGATGATACGTGTAAATATCCTGTTGACGTTATGCTTCTTCAGGCTGGGACGATCCATGTCAACAATCAGAGGTACAATATCTGGCCAAAGAAACATCACGTGGACAAGCGCCAGGCGTCCAGAAGCAGAAATCCACACGAGCTGCGAGAAATTGTGATCTTTGATATGAGTAATGACACAGTGCACCTTCAGTCTGAATTTCCTACCCTTGAGCAAGGCATTCCGTCAAATGTTCAAGACATTCCGTCAAATGTTCAAGGTATTCCGTCAAATGTACTTTCTCCCTTATTCTCTCCCCCTCTCTCTCTCCCACATGTGTGTTATTTCTCTTTCGTCACCTAGCAGTGTTCCTTCAAGTACTGTCACAACCTGCTCATAAATCTTTTCATTTCACTACGGTGTCGAAAAAGGAATAAGAGAACACATTGCATGGCTATAGTAGCGTAAGTTAGGCAGGTTAGGCAGTGTGCCCCCAGGTGATAGGTAAATGAGACAGCATGACATGCCAGACGGATATTGACGAGTGACTTATTGACGTTTGTTAAGCATGATCGTTTTAAGTGTAATATGTGTTGTTTAGCAAATGTAGCAGTTCCACTGCCATTATCAACACCTCAGAGCTCTTATCTACCACCACAACCTTCCTACGAACAGTAAACAGCATCTTCACAACGATCGGATTCGAAAACAAAGTAATATCCCTCCAGCTCATAGAAGTCGACACCGCCTTGGAAGGGATTGCACAAGTCGTCGGATTTTTACTTGGTTAATTCTTCGCCATTCCTCCTGCAAGGCGTTGACAAGTCTGCAAATATCTGAGGACAATGGTGATCGTTTACGGACGCCTCGATCAAGTTCGTCCTATAGATGTTCGATCGGGTTCAGATCAGGCTATTTGGAAGGCCAATGAGAGACATTGACGTTTGCTTTGGCGAGATAGGAACTTCTTACACGAGCTCTGTGGGGTCGAGCGTTGTGGTGTTGAAACAGCTCCCTCTGGTGGTTAAAAAGTGGGAGGAGGTGAGGTCGCAGGATTTTGTCGATGTAGCGATTTGCTGTAAGATTGCCTCCCATCCCGTCGTTGCAGGAGGATATGCGATTCATGCATATACCCCGTTGCACCATTGGACACGTCGTTGTCGGTGTAGTGTCAGGACAGGTCCAACTTTTGGTCGATATGACGATTCCTGATGGTTTGGTCGGAAATAATTCCAAGACCTGTCCTGCAGTGTCCGTTGCTGTAACAAATCGGTAACGTAGGTCAAACCGAATGAATCGGTCCTGAGAGGAGTGGTCACTCTTTGTCTTCCACTTCTCAGACGATCTTGGGTCGAACTGAAGTAGGTTTATCGGTGAAGTGGTGGACGTTGAAGTGTCTTGCAACGACAGACAGGAACCCCCTCCCCCTCCAAACGTCAAATGGTGATATTTCGGGCAGTAGCATTCAATCTTGGCATTTTTTATCTTCGTTTACGTCGTAAATTTCGTAATGAAGTGATGAATTTGGTTTGGCCTTTTATTGTCGATGTCTCTACTCGTGTATACGACACGTTGTCGTGCATTCCGTGGAAAACTCTTTCTGCATGCACATTTCATGTATCGTTATCATTTTGTATGACGTACATTTATATTGGTTAACCAGTCATGTTTGAATCACTGATAATTTGGAAATTAGAAATGACATCCCGGATCCTATTCAAAAGAAGTGGGGCATGCAAATAGGTTATAATAAATTACATGCTGCTGGAGTTGTAAGTCCAGATTTGAACAGGTCTTCGTCCAACGAGGTACATACCAGAATATTTGCTGAAGAGTTCTCTTCTTCCTCTTTCACACCTTACTGCTGAAAAATGATCACACATTAACAAGGGTATCACGAGGAAATAATTACATGTGAATATTTACATTGTGTTTCAGGCATGTCAAACAATCCGGCTCACTATACCATCGAGATGGGTCTATTCCCTGATTTCTCTGACTACACTGCGTAAGTCCTTCTTAGGTGTTTCAATATGGCCACATGAAATAATTTCTTGGATCTGTATACTGCCCAACCCTAATTTTTTTGGGCATAGGTATATTTGCGTGTCTAAAGCCGTCAGACTTCCGAACTTCGTCTCAGCTTCCGGTATTCCAAGTTTTCGACTAACATTGTATAGAAAATCAGATTTTTTTATATTAAAAATAGAAATAAAATCTGCCCTTCATACCCATTAAAAAAAATTATTTTATGTGGCCATAGCGATATGGGGTGAAATGGGGTATAATGTTGCGTTCAATGCTTGTTTGAAGTGGCGGGAATTGGTGCGTGTATTCGTGCATGTGTACATGCGTGCATGCTTGCGTGCTTCTTTGTGTGTATAATGTGTGAGTCCCATGCCACGGTTTAACTTGCATGCCACACTCATAGGCACTCACACGTTATACTGACACTGATACTGGCCAGTCAGTCCCAAGATGCCAGACCCCCAAGGAGACATAGGACGTGAGGTGAAATGTAGTTTAACGTTCAGGTCAATGGTATGCTCTTTTCAATCGACACGTGTGTTTGCGTGCGTCTTTGTGAGTGTAAGTCTGTGTACCTTGCAACAGGGTAACTTGCACATCACACTCACACACATTATGCTGACACTGACCGAGACTCTCTCTCTCTCTCTCTCTCTCTCTCTCTCTCTCTCTCTCTCTCTCTCTCTCTCTCTCTCTCTCTCTCTCTCTCTCTCTCTCTCTCTCTCTCTCTCTGCCACGGTGCAACTTACATGTCACACTCTGTGTATACATACCGACACCGATCAAGGCAATCTGTCATTATAACATGTGTCTTTTATTATAGCTTTCTTCAGGCTGCCGAGGGTAACAGTACCGTCACCATCTCCAACATGAGACTGTACTATGCCTTCGTGGAGGAAATGGTAAAACTGACAAAATTGTCATAATATCATGTCTGCAAGCAACATGTGTTAGAATCAACCGACGGGAAATGACACATTAATTTCCATAATTACCGTATATCTTTCATAATGTCTGATTATACAATTCATATGAAGCACATATAAACCTCAAACATATCACTTAATTTGAACAAGTCTTAGAAAGTTTCAATTATAATTCCTTTTTATGCCTAATTACCTTGTCTTAAATTCAGGCTTGAAATTGTAGATGCAGATACGATATGACACAGTGAATGAACAGGACCCTTCTATCTCCATCACTATCTGGATAAAGTACATCAACATTGCCACTGTAAGCAGGAGAACCCTTCTATCTCCATCAATATCTGTATAAAGCATATCAACATTGCCACTGTAAGCAAGAGAACCCTTCTATCTCCATCAATATCTGTATAAAGCATATCAACATTGCCACTGTAAGCAAGAGAACCCTTCTATCTCCATCAATATCTGTATAAAGCATATCAACATTGCCACTGTAAGCAAGAGAACCCTTCTATCTCCATCAATATCTGTATAAAGCGCATCAACATTGCCACTATCAGAACATTCCCACTGTATAAAGCATCAGAGAACCCTTCTATCTCCATCAATATCTGTATAAAGCATATCAACATTGCCACTGTAAGCAAGAGAACCCTTCTATCTCCATCAATATCTGTATAGAGCATATCAATATCTGTATAAAGCGCATCAACATTGCCACTGTAAGCAAGAGAACCCTTCTATCTCCATCAATATCTGTATAAAGCATATCAACATTGCCACTGTAAGCAAGGAGAACCCTTCTATCTCCATCAATATCTGTATAAAGCATATCAACATTGCCACTGTAAGCAAGAGAACCCTTCTATCTCCATCAATATCTGTATAAAGCATATCAACATTGCCACTGTAAGCAAGAGAACCCTTCTATCTCCATCAATATCTGTATAAAGCATATCAACATTGCCACTGTAAGCAAGAGAACCCTTCTATCTCCATCAATATCTGTATAAAGCATATCAACATTGCCACTGTAAGCCCTTCTAGCTCCATCAATATCTGTATAAAATATCCATTGCCACTGTAAAGCAAAGAGAACCCTCTATCTCCATCAATATCTGTATAAAGCATATCAACATTGCCACTGTAAGCAAGAGAACCCTTCTATCTCCATCAATATCTGTATAAAGCGCATCAACATTGCCACTGTAAGCAAGAGAACCCTTCTATCTCCATCAATATCTGTATAAAGCATATCAACATTGCCACTGTATCAAGAGAACCCTTCTAGCTCCATCAATATCTGTATAGAGCATATCAACATTGCCACTGTAAGCAAGAGAACCCTTCTATCTCCATCAATATCTGTATAAAGCATATCAACATTGCCACTGTAAGCAACATAACCTTTCTCTTTCCGTATCCGGATAAAGTGCATAAACTTTGCCATCGAAAACACAAGAGCCCCGTTCTCTATCAATATATGGATTAATAAGGGCCCCCTTCTTCATTTCAACATTTACAATATGTATTATCATACAGGTGAGTGAGTGAGTGAGTTTAGTTTTACGCCGCACTCAGCAATATTCCAGCGGCGGTCTGTAAATAATCGAGTCTGGACCAGACAAACCAGTAATCAACAACATGAGCATCGATCTGCGCAATTGGGAACCGATGACATGTGTCAACCAATTCAGCGAGCATGACCACCCGATCCCGTTAGTCGCCTCTTGCGACAAGCATAGTCGCCTTTTGTGGCAAGCATAATTATTAGGTTGCTGAAGATCTATTCTACCCCGGATCTTCACGGGTCTCATACAGCTGATCTACATTTACTGTTACCGTTACGTTCTGTTAGTAACACATGCATGCTCTACAATTACTGTTTCTCTGGCTACTTTATTAATCTTTCAGGCGTTAATGTGATCCACACCACGTGCATTTCTGAATTACAACTAACATTATGTAATCACGCATTTTGTTTAGATACACCGCATTGATCTTAACCTGGCAATGTCAGAAACGTTTTCACAAGAATGATGATACATTTGGTGGTGATATAGCAATAAAGGGAAACTCAAATATTCGTCAAATATAATATGTATATATACATACATTATATTGTATGAAGAACAGTTGAGCTTCTTTGTATTGCTATATCAATTCTTCAAGGGGACAGGGTGTCTTACAATTTGTTCCTCTGTTACTTCAGTCCGCAGCTGGGTCTCCTTGGACGGAGACTATAAAAAACGGAAGCGAGGTATCTCCAATACAGGCACTCAATAACCATGCAGAATACCTCTCCGTAAACGCACCTAGGTCAGCCGACGCCTATATGATCTTCACAAGGTAAGGCACATGAGTTATGCGTGTTTGTAATTAGACTCAGGGGCTACGGAATGATATCAAACGCTACAAGGTGATATTGCGCGGTGGGCGAACTATCTAAAGAGCAGGGCTAGTGATCCAGCGAGCTTGAGGTGACGGGATCGAGCCGACCTGTGACCGGGTGTAAAAACTTTGGAGTCAACTTTGTGTGCAGACTCTTCCAGTGTTGTCACAGTACAGTACACATCCATGTGCACTTAAAAGAACCCACGTGTGTGTGTGTGTGAGTGTGTGTGTGTGTGTGTGTGTGAGTGAGGGTTTTGTTGTTTGAAATATACGTGGTGGAGTTTCCTTTACCCCTGAATTTATAACAGGTTGAAGACGTGGTAGATGGAATTTCGAACTATCAGCAGATGTCACCTTATCCAATAATATGACAGGTACGACATAGTAGGACTTATTCTTCATGTGAGATACCAGCGACCGATTGGTCTGTCGCGGTACGGGCGCTCTCCCTGAATATTATACTATTAGTATAATGGACACGTGGTGGGCGATTTTTACCACACCTGATCCGTGTCGAGAGGCTAAGGCAATAAGAGGATTCCTACTTGCAATCTGACAAATGACCGTAGTTCTACAGAGAAGATAATATCTGCATTGATATTTGTTGCCGTTTTGTCAGCAACCTGAAAGGTCATACTGCAGAATCCTGTAACCATTGTGTGCATGTTTGATGTATCATTGATTCTAATTTCTTGTTACAGGTACGCCTTAGTAATTCCGTCGCTTTCGTCGTTGAATATCATTGGTGGGTTGGTTGGTTCCTTTCTTGGTTTACTTCCTCATGTTCTCTACCTTTGTTTACTTCTTATTTCCGTGACTCGCGAAGATCCGGGGTAGAATAGGTCTTCAGCAACCCATGCTTGCCACAAAAGGCAACTATGCTTGTCGTAAGAGGCGACTAACGGGATCGGGTGGTCAGGCTCGCTGACTTGGTTGACACATGTCATCGTTTCCAAGTTTCGCAGATCGATGCTCATGCTGTTGATCACTGGATTGTCTGGTCCAGACTCGATTATTTACAGACCGCCGCCATATAGCTGGAATATTGCTGAGTGCGGCGTAAAACTCACTCACTCATTCACTCTTATTTCCGTAATTCTTCGTCGCCTTCCTCTACCTGTCTGTACCTTCTTTTTATTCTCCGCCGTATTCTACGCCTCCGTATCTTCTCCTGCCTTCAGGTTTTGTCTTCCTATCTGCCTTCTTCTCCTCACTCTTCTTCTCCACAATCTTCGTCTTGCATTTCTGCTTTTGTGAAATTATATTGAGGGATCTCGTTGGTGAGACCGGGGAATTGAGTTCAGATCAAAAAAACTGTATCTCGGATGTCTCCCATAATGAAATCATAATTGTATTTCTGAGGGGAATTACTTGGGGAGAAGCCACTATCACAAACTCCAAGTATAGCGTCAGATTTAAACTGAATGTGGTATTTTCGGTAACGCATTTTCAGTACAGAGACGGTTAGAGAGTGATGGTTGGAATTTCTGTTCTAGGTGTGGCCTATTTTAATACATTGTGCACGGATATGGGTGTAAGCATTACCAAAACTTTGGTTCTGGTATTGTTGGGACCATTGCTGCTCACGAGCTTGGACACATGTAAGTATTTCTGTTGCTACCAGAATATCCTTCCACTGTTTGGGATGCTTTCTTAGTTGAGCATGAACTAAGAACTTTATCGTTCTTTCAAAGAATATTCAATAATATAAGTGTAGCAGTGGTTTTGAATACTTAAATAAGATTATTCAATAATATAAGTGTAGCAGTGGTGTTGAATACTTTTTATGTATACCTGTGTCAGTTCCACAATTCCTAACAATGGCATTTATTTTTACTTTCTATTTCAGCCTGGGTTTAAGACATGACTCCGATAGTGGCTGCAACAATTCCGACTGGTTTGTAATGGGAGCTGCAATTGGTTTCGTCCCTCCACTCGCTCCATCCAATCCCTGGACCTTCTCATCCTGTTCTGTGGCGACTTTAAAAACTAAGCTATCTGTGTAGGTGTAAGTGTGTATATATGCAAAACAGAGGACCAAGGACAGGCCTACCAAAGAAAACTTTCCCGCAGAAAAGCCATTAAAACGCAGAAAAGCCATTAATCGTGGAAATAGCAACATAAACATATTACCCCGTTACCGAAACAGTAAAAACGGCAACGAAAGACTATGAAACTGCAACATATTTATATTAGCGATCTTTGACCTCTGCTGCGCATGCGCGTTACGATCTGACCTGGAAAAATATTTCCGAGCAACCGTGAATCGCCTCGCGTAGAAAAAGAATTGAATATGTCGAAATAATTCCTGTCAATCATTTCATACGAATGGGAAGCAAACTAAACAAGTGTGCACACAAGTATCATGATGATAAATACCAAATAACACAACAGAAATACTGTTGTAAAAAGGGGAATGTAACTTTTGTCCATGCTGGAAAATGTCAACATGCGGTAGAGGCTTCCATGTGCGCATGCGCATACTTGAAGTTGCAGGCTCTTCGTTTTTTATCCAGTTTTTAGCGATTGAAAGTTGCCGGTTTTACTGTAGCGAGGTGATATGTTGTTGCTATTTCCACGATTAATGTGGACTCTTCTGCGTTTTTCTGCACAGTTGGAAAGTTTTCTTTGGTAGGCCTGAAGGAGTTGAGGTGTGGTCAGTGCGCTTGATATTTCCTTTGATATTACAAGATCCCACCTGTGGCTCCAGAGAGGTGTTGTTAACGCTGCATGTAACCCTTTGTGAAGTTTACAAGACATATTTATGTTTGGGCGGTTGCTTGGTTATACGGCATACCGGGTAGAAATGCACCACAATATCTACAGGTTCACTACTATGCTTTCAACAGAAACAACACAAGGAGGATGCATGAATTGCTGCGGAGAGTATGTGAATTCATCGAATAATTGCAAGTTAAGGTCTCAACATTCACAGTATCATTTCTACAACTCCGTATCTAATCCCTGGCCGCCTTTTCTTGTTCATATGGGTAAATTAGAGGTAGGCAGTCGGCTGTTTGACCGCTATTGAACGATATCAGATCATCGATATGTGTGTGTGTGTGTGTGTGTGTGTGTGATTTTGAAACGAAGGAAACGTGCCAGGATATTAAACGTAAGCTTCAGGTACATATGTACCTGAAGCTTAGGTTTAATATCCTGGCCAATTTCCTTCCTTTCAAAATCAAATTTAAATTGAGATTTCCCATAATACTATAAAGAACTAAAAGTGCATAAACCTCTACCTTTCTATTTTACTCCAGACGAGCGTGCGCTCTCAACACCTCTATATCCGGTTCGATTCTCTCAACGAACGGGCAACGCGCAGGGCAAACGATTAATGCTGATCAACAGTGTGCAGATCGATTTACATCTGTGTCGACATTTTGCAGAGTATGTAAACAGCAGACCAATGTCCAAGTAATCGTCGCTGACCAATTTATTATCACCATTCACTCTATGATGTGAAAATATTACGTGATGAATTGTGCCAAACCTTAACTAAATGTTAACGTACCTTGAATATGTTTTACTTTGTTATCACAATTGTCACAGGTATATCTGTAATTATATCATGTTTATAACGTAAGGATGGAAAAAGACATCGTGGAGTGCAGGTATATGGTTTATGAATTAACGATTCGTTTGGAGAATATTGCAGGTATATCTGACATAATACATTAATTGTTGGTATGTCAGTGCTTGTTACAGATTATGTATAGAAACACTTCTTTTTATGTGCTGTGTTGTCTTTTAAAGAACAACAAACAAACTAACACAATCGTTCCTTGATGGATTTCTGTCCTCTACATTTCCAGGGTGTCGCACCTTATGAAAATGGAACCAATTTTGAGTTGATGTGTAGAATTGGGTACTGTATGGCGCCTGGAAACCTGTGCTTTGGCTTCATTCCTTTAGATCAGACATCATGTGGCGATAAGAAGGTGAGCACTGTTATCTTCTGAAAATTAATTACTAAATTCAATTTGAACTGGCTTAATTTGTGATAGTTTAACCTGTAATACAGTAAACGTTAGCTAAAGCAATAATAATTTGGAACTTAATAACACGATTCTCGCCAATGAAAGGACATGGATTATTGTTTTTTCCTCATCCATTATTATTGTGACACATGGTGAATAAGACTCAGTTGAACTGTAAATGAAATGTGGATATTCTGTGGTTTGAATGCGACATTAACTGCAAACTGCAAAGTTCTCTGTGTGAAATTGTATCGGACACAAAACCGATGTGAACTGCATTCTATCTGACAATTCCAATTTATAATTCAATACTTGCAAAGCAGTTCAACTGTTCATGTGTTCACATCGGCTCATGTTGACAAGTATTGCCTATTATTGCATGTATAAAACTTTAGGTTTACTTTAGGTGTAAATATATTAAAGAAACGTATCATTATATGAACATAAATCTATTCAAAACAGCCCAATGCTGCTCTTGACCACTCTTTACTTGATCTGCAGACAGGGACTTCTAAGAATTCTTGTTCAACTCTTGCCACGGCGATCTGCTTCACTTCTGATTCAACTGTATCTGAGTGACCTTTCTTATTACCATTACGCACTGACTGTTAATTATTTCTTTTGCAGTGGTGCGAACGCGGGGCGTGTGTCTACAATGCTGCTGCACCACCAAAATCAGGTAATAACCCGATGCTACATTTTCTATGTTAAGACATCCAACATGGCCCTAAAGTAATAACTTACCTGGACAAAAGGGCCAAATGTATCCGTGTACCTTTACAGTGTAAACAACTATCTGCACATTTTCACATTTATTATACAAAAATGCCAAGGGTAGTTTAACCATTCAGTATTACACTGATCGGAGAACCTTTATTCCGTTTGGTTAACCCGGTCTTGACTGATGGCAATCATCGAGAATTAACGAACTTTGTTGTATGTTAAGGGTAAGAGGTGTGGCAATATTAGAATATGAAGTCCCATAGAAACATTCGAATACATGTATCATCTGTACTCCTACATGGCTGGCGTTTGAATATCCACTTCCCGGTCATCTTTAAGTCTGATAATGTTAACCATTTCGTCTATGATTTCAACTATATTCACGATAACGTGCGAGCGAACGTATGCATTTTGGAACCGATCGGAGATACGGAGAAACTCGTTTCGAGAGCTTAAACGGACGAAATTGCAGACGAATTTTAAGTCATCGGCATTCTGTCAACAAAATTACATCTGTCAGCTAACAATGCTGATTGTCACTACATCAGTATGCTGGTTGGACTTAGATATATTCACCTGTACGTATTTGACACCTCGATAAAGCATTGAACGTGTACGATGGTCAGCATAGAGATGATATCCGGGTTAGCACTTCTCTTCAGCAACGCCTTCCTTGTCATATGGTACATTCAGTGACCATGGACCCAGTAACTGATGGAGACATGCTAATGTAAAGACCGCCGTCACCTAATTTGAATATTACTGACTGTTAGGCAAACAAACAAACCAATAAACAAACGAACATGTGCAAGCTTTAACCTACATATTTCTTCCCACAGCCAAGTGTCCACAAAGGGATGACCCAGCGTATGTCTGTGAAGCAGCGTCATGCACGACCTACTCACCATTCAGGTTGTTGACGTGTTGTGCTACGTGCGCTGCACAGATTCTACAGAAAACGACCACAGTACGATTCATCGTTCTCCGAACCGCACCACCGATCCTATTCTTTGGGTAGGCAAACCAATGAACCGGATGGCATTCGCTTCTGTATTTAATGATGTTTTTTTTGTACCCCGATGTTTTAGGACCTCCGGGAAATCTGTGTCTGATACAAGTGTACCACCAACAGCAAACAGTAACACACGTCATAGTCTAATTCTGGAAAAATCCAGAAACTCTTCACACTTGTGACCGTTTCTCAGAAAGGTTTTGACAAAATTCAACATGCTATTATCATATAGATTTATGCTAAGGATGTAAAATGAAGTTTTGTTTAAATTTCATTTGATCATCCTTAGCATGTAGTCATGAATAATGAATTTTGTGAAATCCCTTTGAGAAACTGGTCACAGAGTTTCTGGACTTTGGGGTTTCAGAATTAAAATGTGAGGCGTACCTGGGTAGAGTTGAATATGATTTTACCCGTTTCTTAGAATATCTTATGGCAATTCTTAATGACAAATGAGAATAACAAAGCCCTGTTGCAACACAAGAGGACAATCGAAAGAGTCTTTTGAGAGGCTATCCACATGCTCTTACGTTTATGTTTCTACTGTTTTAACATTTGTTAACTATTACCGTTCAGGAATGTTGGAAACAGAAGTCAATAAATGCTACATGAAGTTTAAGATTTAAAAGATATTTGTAAATTATGGCATAGACCGTAGAAGATTGGTTAAGCGTGAGTCTCCGATTTGATGTACACATATATATTACTGAGAAAGAATAAGTTATTTGTCAAATGGATTAGTAGGATCATCCGTACACCAATATTTTTCGACCACATGTTAGGAAACGGTCCCCCTGAATATATCTTATTAAACTGCATTCTTTGAAAATTGCAGCATTTCAATAAGTCGAGGACATTATAGAAAAAAACTGCCTAAAATGTCATGAAGAAAAACAAGTTCTATGGATAGTCAACTTCTTTATTGCAATGAATGCGACGTTTCGTTGTAGATACTAATACCCTTATCAAACCAGAGTGATATAAGGAGTAGAAACAATGAGATTGTATATATAGCTGCATATATAATATAGTGAGTATACACAATTGATAAGGTTGATGTACATTGGATTGCTAATTAGTGATTTGAGCAGAGAAGGTGGATGCACATAGTGACTGGTTGTGATTACAGATAGAAATACATAGGCAGGTTGAGTTTATGTAATTGATGAGGTTGATATACACTGAAATGGTAATTAATAAGTTGAAGAGAGTGGGTTGATGTACACAGTGATTGGTTGTGATTACAATAGACAAAAGGAAGCTTGGAAGCCAGGTGGACAAGCGAGATATGGCTGGAATACTGGTGATTATCTGTAATTAGTTGGTGATAGGCCGAGGGAGATGAAACAACCTTGATCACGATTCAATGTGGGGTCGAAACGTTGGATTTTTGGTTGGATTGATTTTTGTGTTCCTTAATTCGTAGTGGGAGAGGGCGGGACGTTTCACCTATATAATAGCCTCCACATTGGCAATGGATCTGGTAGACTACTTCCGAGGGTCTTCTTTTGTTGTTAGGCTTATAGGAGGTTCTGGATGGATTTGCCTCTCAGGAACAGAACATCTGTGCCTGCTTGCTGCTGAAGGAGTAGTCTTATCTGGTGGCTGAGTGCTGGGACATACGGTTTAAACAATATTCATTTCCTTTGATGACATATCTATATACATTTACATATAACAGGATTTAGGCGATTGGAAAACAGGTATAGAATTGCCCATGTTAATGCTTCTCCCCACTTAATACAGAACATACATAGACAGACGCCACACGTGAATTTAAGGAAAGGTTCAGTTCTTGAACATTTCGGCAATATGGAAGACATCTTTGAAATGGATATATAATGTCGTGACATTAATAGGTTACGACTATTTGTGGAACTATTTTAACTGTACATGTGTTGTGTAAAGGAGTTTCCTCACATTATAGATCACTTCTTATCATTTGTAAATATTTGATACAAATGTTGTCATGATGTATGTTTGTCTGATGTACACAATAGCTGTTTTAAAGGATTAATAAACTTAGTTCCTGTTGTGAAGAGTCTTTTGTCGGTTTGAAACTGTCTTTGTCCTGCCTTTGTCAGTTTGAACTTCTGAACCTTCGAATTCAGATTTGTCTGTTTGTTTGTTACTTAACGCCTCAAACAATAACATCAGCTATTTGAACTGAAACAATTCGAGACTGAAAAAAACTGTGATTTATATACAGTTATGGGTTAAACTCGATTTTATGTGTATTAACCAGTCAGTGGACACGTGTAAGTGTGCAAATTGGTCTTGTCGAAGAGCATCGATTATAAAAAGGCCAATACAGAATCATAATCATCATTGTACATGTAAGCAAAATATTATGACCCGTAACAGTGATGGTGCTTAATATGAAGTTCTTTGAAGACAAGTTTATACTGAAATTCAAAAACGCGACTTCCAGTTTTTTGCGACCACATCTCCTGGATCTCAATGACGTGAATGTAACTGAACGGCGAACAGTTGGAATGTTCGCGTGTTGCACGCGTATTCGGTGTGAGCATGATGTTCTCATGAGTGTATTTTTATATTGTGAACAACAAACAAGGCTTGTTTTATTTACCAGGTACTCATAACAACACTAACCATAAAAATGCTCGCATGATGCCACAACTTGCTGAAGGTCCATGCCTGTGCTGAGGTGGATATGCTATAAATAGGAATGGTCCCAAACCAACTTGTTGCAACCATTTGAGAGAGCACAACATCTAGACTCGACGCCCGATTTTACAAACATCTCACTGTCAGATACTCCCAGTTTGGTGTCGATAGCAACTGTTTCGTTGGCATTTTATATGCCAAGTCAGAATCGAACATATTCGTAATTCATTTACTAGTTTCGTTTATTGTTGTTTTTCGCGGAGCTGTCAGCTTGAATGGGAGAGCCCAATATGAATCAGGTCTAAGGCGTGTACCGTTTTTGGTGACATTTGGGAGGAAAATATTTTACTGACAACATGCATATGGCATTCGAAACTTACTCTTAGGTTTCTGCCACTCTGAACTGTGGATTGCAGCGCCCGATACGACAGGGGGACCCAGGCTACGAGACATAGAATTTGATTTTTTACACATTGTAAGTGTTGTCATGAAAAGTATTTAGAATGGTTCGGAGCTAGTCAAGGCGGATCCTTGGAAGTGTTACCCAGAACGCCGTCCATTTCAACCGGGTACTCATTCCCACTCCCTATAATGACACTCACAAACACCTAAACATTGGATATACAGATGATTTAATGTAATATTGGCATTGCTGTTATTTTATCGTGTATTTCTGTTCGCAGTAAACCATTTTGGTGTAGCTAGATTCTATGTTTTAGAATCTTACATTTTCATGTCTAGCACGCAGTTCACAAATACTACTTACTTCTGTATCCCTCTTCTGCCTACTTCTGTATCCCTCTACTGCTTACTTCTGTATCATTCTACTGCCTATTACTGTATCCCTCTACTGCCTATTTTGGTATCCCTCTACTGCCTACTTCTGTATCCCTCAATTGCCTACTTGTCTATCGCTCTAATGCCCACTTCTGTATCCCTCAACAGTCTACTTCTGTATCCTTAAACTGTCTACTTCTGTATCCCTCAACTGTCTACTTCTGTATCATTCACCTGTCTACATTTGTATTCCCCATCTGTCTACTTGTATATCCCTCTACTGGCTACTTCTGGATCACTCTAATGCCCACTTCTGTATCCCCCAACTGTCTACTTCTGTATCATTCTACTGTCTACTTCTGTACTTCTGTTTTACTATCAATCTACTGTTTTACTGTGTATCATTCTACTTTACTTCTGTATCATCTCTACTGTTACTTCTGTATCATTCTACTGTTTACTCTCTGTATGATTCTACTGTTTTACTTCTGTATCATTCTACTGTTTACTTCTGTATCATTCTACTGTTTACTTCTGTATCATTCTACTGTTTACTTCTGTATCATTCTACTGTTTACTTCTGTATCATTCTACAGTTTACTTCTGTATCATTCTACTGTTTACTTCTGTATCATTCTCTGCTTCTGTTTACTCTGTATCATTCTACTGTTTACTTCTGTATCATTCTACTGTTTACTTCTGTATCATTCTACTGTTTACTTCTGTATCATTCTACTGTTTACTTCTGTATCATTCTACTGTTTCTGTACTTCTGTATCATTCTACAGTTTACTTCTGTATCATTCTACTGTTTACTTCTGTATCATTCTACTGTTTACTTCTGTATCATTCTACTGTTTACTTCTGTATCATTCTACTGTTTACTTCTGTATCATTCTACAGTTTACTTCTGTATCATTCTACTGTTTACTTCTGTATCATTCTACAGTTTACTTCTGTATCATTCTACTGTTTACTTCTGTATCATTCTACTGTTTACTTCTGTATCATTCTACTGTTTACTTCTGTATCATTCTCTACTTACTCTTCATTACTGTCTGTATCATTCTACAGTTTACTTTGTATCTTCTACTGTCTACTCTGTATCATTCTACTGTTTACTTCTGTATCATTCTACTGTTTACTTCTGTATCATTCTACTGTTTACTTCTGTATCATTCTTTACTTCTGTATCATTCTACTGTTTACTTCTGTATCATTCTACTGTTTACTTCTGTATCATTCTACTGTTTACTTCTGTATCATTCTACTGTTTACTTCTGTATCATTCTACTGTTACTTCTGTATCATTCTACTGTTTTACTTCTGTATCATCCTCTACTGTTTACTTCTGTATCATTCTAACAGTTTACTTCTGTATCATTCTACAGTCTACTTCTGTATCATTCTACTGTTTACTTTATCATTCTGTATCATTCTACTAGTTTACTTCTGTATCATTCTACTGTTAAACATCTGTATCATTCTACACTGTTTACTTCTGTATCATCTCTACTGTTTACTTCTCCTGTATCATTCTCTACTATTTACTTTACTGTTTTCACTCATTCTTCTGTTTACTTCTGTATCATTCTACAGTT